GTGAGGGGGCAAGGGTGGGGGAGGCGGGGGAGAAACTCACGTTCCGGGGCCGGATACAGACTCTCTCGTGAACCATAGTCATGCCTGGGACAATCACAGTCATCTTCCGCGGCCCCTTAAAGCCCAACACGTTTGTCTCCTGGGAAACAGAACAGTGGCCGCCTGAGGACGTGACTTACTGCCGGGAGGCTGGGAGGGAGGGACGAGCTCATTCTCACCACCCCACCTCAGAGCTGACCGGGCAGCTCTAAGCTGAGCACGTCCAGAAGTGAGCTCCCTTACAGCCTTTGCTTCACTTAACAGCAAACTACTTGGGGCCATACCTAACTCTTCCCTCTCACACCCTACCTCCTTGTTTTGTTTTTTGTGTTAATCTTCACTCGATACTTTTTTCCATTGATTTTTTAAAGAGAGAAGGGAAAGTGGGGAGAGAAAGAAACATCAGTGTGAGAGAGGCACATCAATTGGCTGCCTTCCCCATGCTCCCGACCAGGCCTGGGGAACGAACCTGAGACCCAGGTATCTGTCCTTGACAGGGAGTCAAACCTGTGACTCTTTGGTGTGCAGACATGCTCTAACCACTGAGCAATACAAGCCAGGACTCACACCCCACCTTCTAATCAGCTGATGCTGTCAGCTCTACCTTCGAATTAAATCAAGAATCCGATTACTTCTCACCACCACTGTCTCACTGAGATCACAGTAAAGCCTCAGTGGACTCCTTGTTTCCATTCCCAGTCCCCCTCCCCCTCCACCCTCTCACCTGTTCACAAAACAGCGAGTGGCCCTGTTAAGCCATATCGTTTTCCTCCCTAGTTCAGAGTAAAAGCTGAAGGTCTTACCTTGGCCTGCAAGGCCTCACAAGCCCATTACCTCCTCACCGTTCCTCTCCACTGCGCTCACCAGCCTCCTTGCTGTCCCTCCACGTGCCAGGTGTCCAGGACTCCTGTGCTCTCTGTGCGGTACTCTCCCCAACACCCACATGGCTGGCTCTCACTTCCCTCTGGGTTTTACCCCAGTGCTACCTTGGTGAGGCCCTCCCTGCCATTCTTCCTAAAAGCTCACACGAGCCTGGACACTTCATAGCCCTCTTCGGTGTTTTATTTTCATCTTAGCATTTATCAGGAACATATTTTGCTTGTGTCTACTTTATCTCTTGTCTCCTCCGCTAAGGGTTTAAGTCCCATAAGGTTATAAATTTATGTCTCTTCCTCAGTGCCTCAAACAGTACCTTGCACATAGTTGGGGCTCAGTATTTGGAAATTCAGGCTGCCTCCCCAAAGCTGACCAGCAGATGGCACCAGAGGATCATACAAAACAGCAAAACAGCTATGGATTCCCACTTGGCCTCCGTAAAGTGCCCATTCCCAGGTTGCCGGGGTACCAATCCCTCATTTTAAAAGCAAGTGAAATCCCCTGTGCTTATATTACAGTTTGGTCATTTATGAGCTGTGTGGTATTGGCAAGGGACCCAACCTCTGAGCTTCAGTTTCCTCATCTGTGTAAGATCAAGCTCTTCGAGCATTCAGTGAGATGACAATGCAAAGGCCTTGCAGGACATGAGAGGGAGTGAAGGGATGCACAGACAAGAACCCAGGTCTCCTGCCCCCTCCTTTCCTGGAGGCTCCAGAGCTGGGCTGTGTACAGCCAGGCCTGGATCCCGGATCTCTGGCCACCTGTGGTCTGAGCTTGGGGGAGGGGAGAGGGCCAGGGCTGCTCTCCCAGGCGGGGCCCACCTCCCTGCAGCCTGTCTATCCGCAGACAGGTGGGACAGCCCACAGATGAGGCAGCCAGTCCTGAGCATCAAGTCCAACTTGGAGACCAGACACCCAGGAGCCCAGGACTCACGTAGCACACAGCTGCCAGCTCCTGACGCAGGGTTCCACCTTCTACAGTAGAGGATGATGTCTTCTGGGGGTTGACTCCATTGTCATAAATGGTGAACTTAGTGCCCATGAGGTTGGACCTGCAGGACAGGCACCATCAGTACAGAGTCATATACCCTCTGCCCCAGGGCAGCAAATAGCTAATGGTCTGTCCTGAGGAGCCTGCAAAGAATTCTGGGCTGAGCCAGGAGCCGACCTGGGGGCACACTGCTTACTGAATCCCCATCTTAAAGGGCAAAAGGCCTGGACCTGCTCTGAGCTGAATCAAAGAGGATCCTGGTTTAGTGAGGGAAATTCAGGGAGGGAAATCGGGGTTCCACAGAGTGTTTCCCTGGAGGAACAGACGTGAGCGAACAATGGCATCTGGCAAGACTGTAGAGGGACCTCAGCACCCCATGCAGACTGGATAAGCTGATCTCCTCTGTCCTACCCAGCCTGTGAGTCCTGGTCCAGTCCCACCTCCACAGCTTTGGCTCCTTCCCTCTAAGCTTGACTTACTCTCCCCACATCTGGCACTCCGTTTCTCAGCAAACCCTCCTCCCTCGAGGCTAGCTCAGAGCTTCCCCTCACTCCAGGGTGGGAGTCTCTTCCATCACGGTCTCACTCTCAGTCCTGCCCCTCAGCACTGGCCATGGTGCCAAGGTGACTTACATGGTGGCCTACACATCAGTGAAATCTGGGGTTTGATCCATCACTCTGGGTGGGCCTGTGCCCCAACTGGCTGGGCGCAGCTTAGAGTGGCGGGGGCAAGTCTGGCTCTAGGCTGGCACAGAGCCTATGGTTGGGCCTGAGGGACAGAGAGGATAGGAGGAGAGGATCCGATCCCTGGCCTAGATCTCCTTCAGGGACCAGATGCCCTCTAGAGAGCCTGCCCACCCCCTTCCTGGGGAGTGCTGGTACCGCAGTTTCCCGATGTAGCTGTCCCCGCCTCGAGACAAGTCTGTTGGGTCCACAGAGATGAGGTAATTGGAAGTTTTACTCTTCTTTCTCTTCCTTCCCGCCAGGAGGAACACCTTGGGGAGCAGAGTAAGGTCATGTTCCAGGCCCAGCTTCTGGTCCACACACAATCATGGTTGCAAGTCACACACCCACGCTCACACGAGGGACTCCCCCTCCCTTCAGCCCCTGAATACTGTGCACACATGTTCGCACGGGCAAGCACAGAGGTGCACACGTGTATGCATGCACTGACAGACACAAAGGTGTGCACTGACCAGGCGCGAGGGCTTCTGTCTGTGGGGGAACCGAGAGGTCAGTGTTGGATCTGGGGCTGCCAGTCACATCTCAGCCCCCAGGCCCTCAAGCTGCCCAGGTGACAGGCACATCCAGGCCAACCTCACCTTCTTCCCATCATCTCGGTCCAGGTGCAGGAAGTAGGTAGGGTAGATTCCCCGGTCCATCCCCTTCTTGTCCCGCGTGATGCGGCACTTGATGGTGATACCCTGGGGGGCTGGCCTCTGTGCAAACTCCTCGAGATCCTGGACCTCAACCTCCACCGAAGGCTCTGGGGCTGTTGAGCTGGGGGCTGAGGCTGCCTCCTACAGGGGCGAGAGCAGGAGCCTGAGAAGCTGGAACTCGGGGGTCTGGGGTCCAGAGGTGTCTCCTGATGAGGTGGTGAGAGACGGGGCAGAGTCCCCGGATGCGGGCTGGCCAGCCCAGCCCTGTGGTGGTAAGCTAGCTTCCCAGCCCTTCCCTCCCTCAGCTATCCCTGGAGGTAGAGACAGAGGGTAGGGGCAGGGTCGCAGAGGTCATCCTGTCCAGCTCCAGCTCCCCGCCTCCTGGCCTGGCCGACCAGGCGGGAGGACAGGAGAGCCCAGGCCAGAGCAGCTCTCGGGCCAGCCCAGGCGCGGCACTCACCATCACTGCTCCATCCACACTCCCCTCCAGCCTGGGCACACTGCCACCCACCCGACTCACTCACCCTGAGGGATTTCTTGCTAGTAGCAGAGCTGGGCCTCACTCACCCTGAGGGATTTCTTGCTAGTAGCAGAGCTGGGCCGGGTGCTGCTGTTCAGCTGGGAGGAGCTGGAGCTGTTCTCATCTTCCTCCTCCTCCTCCTCCTCAAAGCTCATGCTGCTGGAGATGCCTGGGCCCAGGGGGCAGGGGGGAGGCGTGTCACACCAGCTGCCTGCTCGCATCCACACCTGCGCGCACGCTCACACACACTCCCACACATCCTGACACACACGAGGACACTGGCTCTCAGGTGCATGCTGGAACTGGTCACCATCCTGGGGGGGTGCCCCCTCCAGCTTCAGGCAGGCCCTCCGTCAGACCCCCTCCTCTAACACTCACAGTGCCTGTCTCCTGTGCAGCAAGAACTGAGGAGCTGACCCTGCGCTGGGAGCCTCCACTTCTGGCCTCTGGCCTCCCAGGGCCCAGGCCACGGCACATGTTCCAGAAAGGCTCAGCTTCTTACTTCGCCTCCCGTGCAGGGCTGGCTCCCCCTCTCCTAGCCTGCCCTCAGGCTCACCCCAACACCATCTGCACCCTCAAGTTACCCCAACAGCCCTTTCTCCAGAAGCTGTCTCTGATCTGATTCTTCAGACCGTGGGGCAAGGCCGGGCTTCCCTCGGACACCCCACTCCAGGGGCCCCTGGGGCAGGGCTCACAGTGGGGAAATTATCTGGGCAGCAGGTTTCCCAGGAGGATCTGCCCTGACTCAGCATCCTGGCCCTGCCCTCCTAGCTCAGCAAACAAGGTAACATTTTACAAAAGCAGTTTTGTTTTTGATCCTCACCTGAGGATATTTTTTCCATTGATTTTTTTAGAGTGGAGGGGAGGGAAGAGGGAGGGAGAGAGCAAGAGTGAGGGAGAGAGAGAGGGAGAGAAAAACATCAATGTGACAGAGACACATGGACTGGTTGCCTCCCACCCACGCCCCGACCAGGCCAGGGATCAAGCCTGCAACCGAGGTACATGCCCTTGACACGGAATCAAACCCAGGACCCTGGGGTCCGCGGACCAACGCTCTAACCACTGAGCCAAACCGGCCAGGGCAAAAGAAGCTTTTTCAAAGGAACCAAAGGGAAAGGAAATCTGTTCCCAAACCTGAGCCTCCCTGGGGGCAGGCGATACAAGTGGGTTGGCTGGTTACCCTGGTTCACACTTCTTTCCCTTTCCCTGGGCTTATCAGGGGCCCCTGCCCAACTTCCTCATGGGTCTCCAAGTGTCCCCTACCAGGGTCTGTGATGGGCTGGAACAGACACAGAAGGGCCATGCTCCCTAAAAAGGGTGCATCTGAGAACCTGCAACTGAGCTTTGGGGGTGGTCACTGGACCCCCACGGGGCTCACCCTTCCTCTGCATCCTGGCACGGAGGTCCTGCCCGCTGGGCTGTGTGCCCCCACCAGCTGACGTCTCCCCTGCGTCCTGGGCGTGGTCCGACTGGCCCACAGTCAGGATCTGCACGGGGCCTCGGGCCTCAGACTTGTCTTCTGCCAGAGCCACTGGCCCGCCAGCGCCTGCAGGCCACGGACACTCCTGAGTCAATCCGGAGTGGGGAGGGGAGAGCTGGATCCACAGACGGCCAATGGAGTGGGTGAGGGATGAGGTGGGGGGACCCGCCCCTCTGCAAAACTTTATTTGCAAAACTGACTTTTAAAAAACTAAGGATTGCTGTCAGCCTCTTAATGATCGGTAAGCTATGAAGGGACGTGGGTTTTGTTTCTTCCGCTGGTCCCCCAAATTAGTTGCCGAGAGTGGGTCTGAAATGCCTCACATCCCTAGGCCAACGGCAGCCACTTACAAAGTCAACTGCACAGTGAAAAAGACAAGATGGGGAACAAAGACGCATCCAGACCACAGCGAGGCCACCACTGGTTCAGGGTGAGGCCAGCTGGAGTGACCACTGCTCATGTTCATTCTCTCACAGACAGACACACTCAGCTCACACGTCAGCAAACACACATGAGCCCCTTCAAAACGGCTGAGGTTGGCACACACTCGCCTTCCCATGTGGAGGATCTCCCAGCCCAGTCCACCTTCCTCCCCAAGTGGCCACAGCTTCAGCAACAGAAGCGAGGCCTGGCCCACACGGTGGCAGCCGCCCTGTCTGGGTGGGCTAGGTCCACAATGCAGCAGTCAGCCCCAGAAGTTGTGCCCCTGGCACCCCACTGCCCCACCCCACGACCAGAGGCCTGGAAACCACTGCGCATACACAGGGGTTGAGGAAATAGGGTGTCCAACCCACAGAAACAGGACTCGGGCCGGGGCCACATAACTGTCCCTGATCCCTGGCTATTTTTTCTGGAGAGGAGCAGGGAAACGGGCTGGTTTGTGGGCCCAGAGGGTGGCACTGGGAGTAGGGAGTGGCGGAAGCCCACGTGATGACTGGGAGGCTACAGGTGGATGGGCCAGGTTGCTAGGGAGGCAGGGAGCCCTACAGGATGGAGTGACCTGGGTCAGAATGGTGGCAGAGGGTTCCCAAGCTGGGCAGGGAGGGGCTTCCTGGGCCACAGCTGATCTAGACTTCACTTCTTGGCAGTATGGAGGGCCTGCCCCTCACCCACGGGCCAGCCCAGGTGGCCCATGAGCTAGATGAGGCCTGTGAGGCAGCTGGGGGCCGAGCACAATTTAGTGCCTTCACTGGGACATCCCACCCAGTCCCTGACCTCCAGGTCAGGAAGATAAGCCTCCCCAACCCTCCGGTGGGGCCAGGCCTCCTGAGGAGGCTGCAGGGACGGGGAGCCAACCTTTGTGCTTCCCCTTCCTCTCCTTCTTCAAGGCCCCGGTGGCAGCTGCCTTGGTTCTCTTGGCTGAGGCTGGTGCTGTTGGGCGGGCAGCTCCCAGCTGCACACTGGCAAGTGAGTCGGCCTCTTGCACTGCTCAGGAGAGAGAGAGAGAGAGCCAGAGAGTCAGAGGGAGGGAGAGAGAGAGAGATGGGTACTAGGTGAGGCCAGAGCTCTGACTCAAACACACTTCCCAGCATATTTCCCACATCCTCCAACAGCACCATGCCCCAGCAGGGCCCCTGTAGCACCCACCTCTACCAGGCACAGGTGCTCAGGGCAGGGAGGCAGCACCCCCAGCCTGCCCACACCATGATCAACTAAGAAGCAGAGCTGTCAAAGTTCTGGGCCAGCAAACCGTCTGAGCCTGGGCAGGGGGAGGAAACATGTCTGGGAGAATGTGGGTCATCAGAGACTGTGGATGAAGACAGAAAAGGCTGCAGCTCTTGGAAGAGACCACAACTAGAGCCAGCACTCCAGGGGCCTGCACTGCTCTCAAGGGATGAGCCCATGGTAACTGGAAGGGCAGTCATTCCCGAACACTGGGAGCTGCACAGTAACAGAGGCCTTGAAAGGGTCACAGTGGGTGGCCTCCAAACTCTTTGCATGTCAGAGCTCCAGTCTGCTCAAAGTCCCAGATTGGTTTCTCACTGCTCTTAAGATGAAGCACAAGATTCTGCAGGTCTGGCTCCTCCATCTCCAGCCCCTTAGCCTTGGCCTAACTGAGCACACCGCACCTCCCACGCCTTCTAGGTCCCAGCCACACCACGCTCTCTCGGTGCCTGGTGCACAATGGACTCCCTCTCGCCACAGGGGCTCGCTCTCGCCGTCCCACTGCCTGGACTGCCCTCTGATGCTGCCTGCCCACTAATTCCCACTCTTTCTGCAGATTCCAGCTCCTCCGACAGCCTCCCTGACCCCTAGTCTGGGAGCAGGGGCTCTGACTTTCATGCAGAGCCTGGCTTCTTTTGGCAAGGCACACTTGTGACAATCTGTTTAATGCTCTTCCCTTTTGTCGTAAGGTCCATGAGAGAACAGTGACCACACCTGTTTGTGCTCACCCGGGATCCCCAGCCTCTAATCTGGAAGCTGACACAAAGTAGGCCTTCAATAAATATTTAAGAACTAGATGAATATATAACATGAATGAGCATGGCCAGTAGGTCAAAAAGTGTTTACCAGGATAAACCCATCAGTTCTGATTTTTGTCAAACTCTCCTTGTATTTAACACCAAGAGCCAGCAGAGGGCAGAGGAGGCAGCCAGTGCTGGGGGTGCGGACTGGGGTGCTCTAGGTAACACCAATCCCAGGCCAGCCAGCCACACTCTCAGCAGCCTTCTCCCGGCAGTGTCCACCTCTTGGAGCTGACCACGAGCAGCAGCATGAGCCAGCCTGGTTGGACTCTCCGCAAAGAACAGCATGCCACTGGCTGGACCTCAAACCAGTGGCTGCTTCAATGTACAAAGTCTGGAGATAGAGAATTTTTCTCACAGCCTAGGAAACAAACCCAGAGAGGGTCAGTGACTTGCTCAATCACAGGTGTGCAGGTGACCGGTGGTGGCATGACCAGAAACTCTGTCTTCTGACTTTGGTCCTTTCTCAGGCCTGGCACACAGTTCAGTGCTCAGGAAGCACCCGCCAGACGACTGCTCATCGGTGACCTATAAGACTCTCTCAAAGCCACCACACTGGCCTGTGGCCCAAGCTGGCAGGGCCTAAAGTTCAGGGGCAGGTTTCCACCCCATAGGCAGCCCCAAAAGGTCAGGTGCCAGGCTTGGCAGAGCTGGGCTATGATGCCCACCTGGCAGCAGGCCAGGCTCCACAGGACCCACAATAGCAGGTGCCTTCCCTGCAGGGCACCACTGCCACCCTTGGGAAAAGACTGGTAAAGGAAGTGTGAGGAGGAGGCTGCCAGGAAAGGGCAGGGCCTGGGGCCAGTTCTGCGTGGAGTGGGCCAGGGAGCTGGCTGTCCAAGACAGCGGCGCTGGGCTGAGGTCCCCGTCCTCTGAAGGGCCTCTCAGGTAGAGTACAGACATACAGCTGTGGCCTTGAACCGAAGACCACACAGAGAAATCACTATGACTTCCTAGCAGGGAGGTGACATACATGGTGGAAAGGCCATTTGGAGTCTGACAGGCCTGAGGTCAAAGCCTTGCCCCAGGGCTCAGTAGCAATGTACCATGGGCAAGTCAGTGATCCCCTTGGAGCCGAAATGCTTATTGATCATGTGAGGATACTGACTTACTATGAGGAATAAATGAGATAAGGCAGGTAGAGTGTCTAGCACTGTGCTTAGCCACTGGCAAGTGCCTTTATTATCAGATACGAATGGGTTTCCTCAGTGGGACGAAGGCCCACAAAGGGCACGGAGCTTCTCCAGGGTGCTGTGTCAAAACTGGGCACTAGGTGCTGCCCTTCAAGCACAGAGAAGGGGGCCTATGCTCAGGGCTGGGTTGGCAGAACCTGAGATGCTGTGCGGCCAGGGTGTGGGGAGGGCCCAGCAGTCAGATGAGAAAGGTTAGCCCTGAGCTGAGGGAACTACCAGTAGCTCGAAGTGGCTGGAGGCTGCGGGTCCTGAGGAAGCCACAGAGGAAGGGAGCACCATAGTTGCTACGGTTCCTTCCAACTGCAAAAGCCAGATGCTACCTTCTTAGAGGCACCATCTGATTGAAAAGGCACTGGGATTACCTGCACCAGCAGGGGTAAGTGGGGACTGAATCTGAGTCTCTCCTTCAGGATCAGAGAGAACAACCCTGTTTGGCTTGGGGTCCTCTTACCCTAACCTACAGGTCAGATCCTGAGCTCAGGGAGGCAATAAAGCCACCCTCCCCCATCCCCCAGGGGAGCTGTAGAGAATCTGCCCCAGTGGGCTCTGCTGAGAAGCAGTGTGCTAAGATGGGAGTAGTGGAGACTACTGGTCACCATGACTCTGTGCAGGGATCTGTAGGTCAGAAGCCAGGCAGAATGAGGGTGCAGGGAGCCCAGGGAGAGGAGGCAGTAAGTGTCTGTCACAGGAGACACTAGCTGGTGTAGGATGTTGGGGTGAATTCCTCTCAGGAAGAAGAATACCCATGGGGAGCAGACCGTTCTGCTCCCAGGAGCTGCCTCCTGCTCTTGGGGAAACTCTCCAGAGCAGAAACCTTGCCTTTCGAACTCCCAGATCCACAGTTTTAGCTTCTGACTCCAGCACCTGACCCAGAAGCCCAAAGCTCCAGGTCCCAGCCTCCCTCTGCCCGCCTACTCAGCTGTCCACACGGGCTGGGAGCCACGCTCAGCCTGTGCACGCCCTGACAGAAGGCCCCTTGCCTGCCCAGATCAGCAGAAGTCCCTGAGGGGTGTGGAGCCACCACACTGGGGCCTCCCCAGGCCGTCCCAAGGGCGGGGTGTACCTTGGTAGCTGGTGCTGCCACTGCTGCTGAGGTAGGACTCCACCAGGGGGGCCTGCTCCTCTGACTGCCGGGCCCGCCGGCTTCGGGGCCGCCCATCAGCATTGGCCTGCACCATCAGGGGCTCCTGGCGCTTCTTCTTCTGCTTCTGCTCCAGCAGGGCCCGCTGCAGAGGCACCAGACAGGCAGAGAGTTCCGCAGGCTGGAGAGGGCAGCCCGCTGCCCCCACCCAATTAGGGCTCCCAGAATGACGAGGAGAAGGCCCTGCTTGCTCAGCTTGTTCTAGAGATCACAATCGGGTACAAAGCCCACTCTGGGCCAAGGCCTCATGTCCTCGGTGCCCTAAGACTTGGGGTCCAGAAAAAGGAGGCAACATTCAGTCCAGGAAGCTGTGCTGGCAGGACCACAGCACAGATATCAGTGTCCCCCCTTCCAACCCCCGCCACTGGCCTGCGTGGCAGAAACCCGGCATACTGGTCAGTGCTAATGCTAAGCTGCTCTGGGAGGGCCCCTCTCTCTACCAGTCAGGACCACCCCGGGAAGGAGGCAGGCCCCCTGCTGTTCCCTTGATCCCAACCCAGACTCTGGCGAGGACAGCAAGTGCTGACTCCCCTCCCACCTGGCCCCAGCCTCACTCACCTGCCTGTCGAGCTTCTGCTGTCTCAGGTTGCTGCCCTCATCATCTAAGACACTGCGGAGGGAGAGAGCGGTGTTCAGGGCCTGCCTGAATGTAGTGCCAGGATGTAGCCCAGAGCTCACCCAGCACATCTGGGTTCTTCAAACCCTCCCATCATGGCTGCTGCCCACATGGGAGAGAGAAAGGGTGAGGCTATACCTGGGAACCAGCTCAAGACAGAAAGGCCAGAGCCATATTTCTGTGGCTCTGGGAGCTCATCTCTGCTGAGATCCCTGCTGCCCCAAGGACTTCCCAGTCAGCCTAGCCCCAGTAAGTCCAGAAGACTCTCCCCTTGGGCCCATGAGCAAGTCCTGAGTTCAAGGGAACCTGTCCAGAGGCATCGGGCACAGGCCAGGCCCAAAGCCACGCTTCAGACCAGGGACCTGCCCCCTTGGGCTCCCTCAGATCTCACCAGCCCTTCCCCTAGTCTCTCTGTGCTTTCTGGAGAAAGCTGGGTCCCCTGGGCAGACCCTCTCCCCATCTGTTCAAACTCCTGACTCTCTAGCTGGCAGAGTGGTGCTGACACTGCTCACTGAGGATAAGGGTCCCCTCACTTGGGAGTGAGGCCAAGTAACCAATCAGTCCCTCAGGGCAGGGCTGACGGTGGGTAGGGACGTCTGCAGAGCAGACACAGCACATCAACACACAGTCCAGCAACTGGCCACTGGGCCCCTCCCTGGCCACAGATGTGGTGCCAGGCAGCACCAGGGCATCAAACCTTGAGTCCCTAAGGTGTTGGGACAGTCAGTGTCGTCTCACACAGACTGGCCCTGCCTCCCAGGAAGGCAAGAGCACAAGCAGGGAGCTGGTAATTCAAACCACTTAATTTTCTTTCTAGTCCAAGACATATACATGGGACCTAGGCCCCAAATTCGATAAGACCCAAGGCCAGGACAGCTGTGAGGGGTGGGGGTGGAGCCTGAGGGCCTGAGCTCTGGGAACCGCCTGGCTGCACTGGCCCAGTTACATGCCAGAGGGCATGGAGTTTGTGTGTGAGAGGCTGTAAGTATATCTTGTGCAAGTGCACACACCAGGAAGTGTCAGATGTGTGAGTGCATCTACCTGTGTAAGCACACACGTTGATATATGCATGCAAACAACTGCGTAAGAGGTGGGCGGGCTTGTGTGCAGTGAGTACAGTGTGCACAGATGGGGGAAAGATGAGGTCAAATCACCCCAAGGACAAAGTGGAGCCATTTCCATCGCCTCCTGATAACAGTAGCAACCCTTCTGGCTGAAATATTCACCTTAAATGTCCCTTCTGCTCATCCAAACTACTTACGTTTCTGTGGGCTGGGGAAGCCAGCCAGAGACCGGCAGGAAGTCCACGATCACAGCCCACCGCCCACACCCCAGGCCACACTGATGAGGGCTCTGCACATTGTAAACCGACAGCGTCCTACCCACTTGCCACCTGGAAGGCTCCTGACACGCATGGGCGGCTCTGCACTCAGCGGAGGCCTGACTATGATCAGGGCCGTGCACAGAACAGCCTTATTCGCCAAAACCTCGGTTGCCACAGCCCAGGAGAAAACTCGACAGACATGCTTCTAAGTTAGACCTCCATCTTCCTAAAACTGCCCACCCACCTAACAGCACACAGCTGCACTGGGACTCCCTGAGGGCACTGCCAGGACCAGAGGACAGGGAACCAGCTCCTAAAACCTCAAGCTGGCTGGGGTGGTGGATGTCCCATCACAGAAAGCACCCACCACAGCTGGAGGGCAGCAGCAGGGTGCCCGGGGCCCTGCCAGGTCTGAGAGGCTACAACTCTTCCACCTGTCTCTCTACCTGCAATCACTGCCCTGTCTGAACACCACCAGGGCAAAGCACTGCCCATGAAGGGTCAGTCCCAAACACCACTGTCCACATGTCTGCAGTGAGCACTGCACACTCATACACCATTTCCAGGACACCGAGGAAACTGCAGTGTGGTCTGTGTGTGACACCTGGCTGACAGGAGCAATGGGGCCTGAAATCCACCTGGGCTCTGCTTGTGAAGTTCTATTCTGGGCATGCACAGGGCAGCCTGCAATCCCAGTTCTGTGCTAGTGGCCTGGCCACAGAAGCCCAGGTCACCTCCACAACACAGTGCTGGTTCCCCTTCCAGCCAGCAGAAGAGGCCACGTCATGGCTCCTTTGGGTGATGCAAGCCACCTGCCCTTTTACAGGGCTGGGGCAGTCATCTGGGTCATCCAGGCACTGGGCTTGGCTGAGCAGGAAAACGATGACCTCCACAGTGCATGAGTCATTTAGGAAAGGGGACATCCAGCTGAGAGGTAAGCTCACATTGGCAAAGCCACCTACAGAACTGCTGGGTCACAGGGGCTGCCCGACTGACAAAAGACGGTTCCAGCCACAGTGCACCCCTCATGTCCTTATCCGTGCATGGGGGTTGTTTTCCTACCACACTGCTGTGGACTTTCCACGTTATGCGCAGGGAAAGAGGCTGCTTTCCATGAAAAACATCACTCCTTTTCCTCTGTCCCCACCTGCATTTCCTGAGGGGGATAATGCCACAGCCACAGCCTGTGAACACGGGTCCTGGATAAGAGTGTAGATAGGACAGACAACCACCAGCCTTCAGAGGAAGATGGGTGCACCCAAGGGCTGGCCTTGAAGAAGTCCAGAAACTCGGACGTCCTGGAAGTGCCCAGAGAGCCGCCTGCCACGTCACTTCCCACCAGGCATGGTGGAGCCGCGGGAAGGGTGAGCGCAGGGTTGGGGGGCAGCTGGGGAGAAGCATGTGCCTGGAGGATTAGAGTGCACCTGGCTGAGCAAGGCCGCCCAGGAGGCCCCCAGAAGTCCACCTAAACGAGGCGGCTCAAGGAGCAGGCACAGTAGGGGAGGGAAGCAGGTGCAGTGTTTCCAGGAGAGTTGCAAAGGTCCAAGTGGGCCACAGTCACCTAGCAAGGACAAGGTCGCCCTGGCTGCGTGTGTCTGCCTGACACCGTGTCTGGAGCGCACAATATCTGTCCCTGGTGAATAACAGCAGCGTTTGTGGAGCACAATGACAACATGATGGCTGTCTCCAGGGAGAGCAGAGCCCACGCTCAGCAGGCCCAGGCCCTGCCCTCACCGGACAGCCCTGCCTTCCACCGCCCACTCCAGCATCTCTCCCAGGCATCTTCCCTCCTCACCAACACACCGAGCCCGCCTCTTTCCACAGGCACTGTTCTAGGCCACAATGAACGATAACCATGAGAGGAGACAGTAATGGCTTTTTAATGACTTGGGCTCCAATTATGGAATCACTGCCAAGCCCAGGCTGCCAGCTGCAGCCCCGCCAGGAGACGGGGACAGGAGGCAGGGCCCTCACGGATGGTCTTCCAGCTGACCCTGGTGGCTCCTTCATTACGGTCACCTCCTGCTGGGGGCCAGACCAGGGAGGCCCAGGAAAGCACTGGCCACTGAGGTGGCCCCTTAACCTCCCAGGGAGACAGCCCCTCACATCCCCTTGCTTCCCCTGAGGCCAGACAGGTATCTGAGGAGTGAACCACACCTGACAACAAATGAGGGCAGGGGCACTTCTCCCATGGGCTGGAAAAGCCAGACACAGCCAACATATTTAGGAAGCCAGTTCCCACCCATCCTTAGACTCATGCTACATGCTCCAGCTAATCCACCTGAGCTATCAGAGGCCTGGGGGCAAGGCCAACCTAGGGGCAGACGCACTCTCCATGCCCACTTCACCCTCCCCCTTCCTGCCCTCATTCTTCCCCCTCAGTCACAGTGGAAGCAACCCTGCTGGACCCAGGGAAAACGGAAGTGGGCTGTCAGGGAAGGAAAGGCCACCCAGGGTACCTGGTTACAACCCCTGTGCCCACTGCCAGACACCCTCCCCACTCCCCCAGCACATCTAGGCTTCCAGTGCCTAGTGCAGCGATTTTCAACGCTTTTCATCTCATGGCACACATAAACTAATTACTAAAATTCTGCAGTACACCCAAAAATGTATTAAATTTTGTGCTGATCTAACAACAACAAAAAGGCACAATTTTGGTTCATTCATACCAGATAGCTACTGTAGTGTTGGCTGTTGCCATTTTTTTATTTGCCAATCTAAGGGGAAAAGAGATCAGTGCAAACAGTCAGGTACTGTATGTTTTAAAAATTCTTGTGACACACCGGTTGAAAATCACTGGCCTAGTAGCTGCTCAGAACATCGTGGAAACACAGTGAGTGTAGGAACTGGGGTGGGGGTGGGGGGCAGCTCCAGAAGGGAGAGAACCATGCTGCTCACAAGAGTCCCAGCCTCCAGCCACTGGCTCCCCAGCTTACCAGGTGTATTGGAACTGTTAGGGGCACTCAGCCCTGACTTGGCGATTCAGAACTGTTGGGGAAGATGCCCCAGACTCAACCCCCATCTCATTCTCTCTTTTAAAGCAAGTGACACAGGTGATTCTACTCCTCAGCCATGCAAATAAGGACTCTGAGCCACAGCTGGTGATCTCTCAGGAACACAAAGAATTTGAGGAGTTGCTGTAAGGCTGAATGTGCAAATGCAACCTTGTGTTCAGTTGGGGTAAAAAACTGTAGTCTGCAGATCAGTGGGCCAGCATAGGCCTCAGGTTAAGACTGTGAAAGGGGTTAATTGAACAGCTAGCTGGACGGGTGGTTTGAGTAGCAGAAGACAAGTGGCCACTAGGAGCAAGCCCAAGTTCCCAGCAAGTCAGGGCACATGACCTCATGACTAGTAGAAAAAAAGGAAAGCCAGTAAGTACAGCCAGGCACCCACAGGGAATCGCAGGGACCAGCAACCGACGATAACTTGTGAGCAAGAAGAGCGATGTGAGTGGCACGCTAGTCCAACTAGACAGACATTCAAAGGTTTCTGCAAAAATGGGTCATGCCAGAGTCAAAGAAGGTTTCTAGCATCTTGCTTCTCTTGGTTAGCACGTTTCTCAATGAGCCAAAAACAAGGCAGGCTGCTCAGGTAACTCGAAGTTGAAGACGTCCTAAACTGCTCACTAAGACAGTAGGAACTGAGAAGACCTTGAAAAGGCAGCAAAGAG